TTTTTTTTTTTTTTACCTGAAGTTGCTTAACATTGAGATGTTATCCAAATCACAATATTTGCAAACACAATTCAATTTGTCATATGAAATATCAAACTTAACTTGTTCATACACTTCAGAAAGCTAAGCTCGAGTACGTGAGGTTGAACATAAGATATCTAACTTGGCTCGACTCGACTCGAATAACATTTCTAACTAGACGCCAAGCATAAGAAATCAAAATAAAAAAAAATAATAATTCTTTTAACTATTCGATACAGTTTACATGAATTACAAAGTTAAATGAATAAAAATATATTATAAAAACTCATTGAATGTCAAAACTATATTATGAAAATCCATAAAATCAATCACATATTTAATGTTCTAGCCAATTCTAAAAGTCACTATTTATATAAAACAAAAATATAAAGTAGTTGATACATTTCATATGCAATGTAATAGGATTTACATGAATATCTAATATTATCTCGAATAAAATAATTCTATATAAATTTTAATTAAACAAAATAAAAAAATATTATGAAGAAAAATAACATGTTAAACTATAAACAAAAGTATATAGAGACAAAATGATGTTCAAATATGCAATTCTTAACCTATACACATTTAATTTGCATTATTTTAGTTGTGTTTTTATCGAACAAGTTGTGTGCATAAATTTAAACTAAATATATTTCTAAACTTTTCATCACAAATCAATTCATATTAGCTCTTGATCATTACATAACATAGGAGATATCATCAAGCTCCATTAAAACAAACATCTTGTTACAAAATTGTAAAATAAAATTAGTTTAAGAAATAATTTTATTTTTTCTAGAAAAAGCTCCAACCTTTGAGAATGAATATTAATAAATTATTGAGTTTTTCTCTAAAAACATATGAGCTAAATTTGGTTGGACAAATTTTACATGGATCTACATAAAAAAATAATAGATATTAAAATAACTAAAGAAAATTACATGGGGTTGGAGACTGGAGTCTAGCCTTGTCCAAGGGTGGCTCCACCCTACGACACAATGCTTCCAGATAAAAAAGGTAGAATACAATGTATTAAATCACTTCCTAGATTTATCAACGTGATGTATAAAAGCAAGTTTTAAGTCTTATAATATTGATATAACATCCTGAACAGCTCGGGTGAACCGCCAGGCGTGTTAGCTCTGCAGTAGGGCTGCAAACGAGTCGAGCCGAGTTCAGCATTGGCATTATCGAGCAGGATTGATTTTCTTTTTAAATGCTCGAACTTGAGCTCGATTTATGAGGCTCGAGATTGACTCGATAAAAAAGTACAATCGCTCGAGCTTGACTCGAAATCAAACGAGCTCGGCTCGAGTTCGGCTCAAAATTTGTAAGTGAAAAAATGAAATTACCATTTAGCACATATGCTATACTATTGTTATATATATAAGAGGTATGTTAGTAATTCAACATATATCTCGAGACGCTCGACAATGTAAAATATGGGCTCAAGCTCGACTCGAGTTTGTGCTCGAGCTTGAGTCGAGTTTTGTCAAACTCGAGCGCTCGCGAGCGATTCGCGAGTCTCTCACTTCGTTTGCAGCCCTAATATAGTCGGCGATCTGAGAGAGCTCAGTCCGATTTGATATTGTGACGTTGAGGCTAAAGGACCGACCTTTGATAGCTAAGAGGTCGGGGTATCGGATGGGCACAAAGCTCGGGCATAGGCAGACCTCTGGTCCTGGAGGAAGGTGAGACCTCATATGGTCGAGGCCGGTGAGTCGACCTCGGCATTCTTGAGGCAAGAAAGTACCAGAGTCAGAAGGGTGATCTGGAGACCTGAGAGTTGTATAGTTGTAGAAGATAGAGTTCTTATGGATGAGAAGTATATTTTCAAGGATACTAAAGATATGAGAAAATCTGATTAGTTAAGAGGGAAGACACGAGAAGATTTTTTACCATACTAGAAGTCTCTTAGGCTAGTGAGACCTCATATGGTCGAGGCTGGTGAGTCAACCTCGGCATACTTGAGGCAGGAGGGTACCAGAGTCAAGAGGGTGATCTAGAGACCTGAGAGTCGTATGGCTGTAGAAGATAGAGTTTTTATGGATGAGAAGTATATCTTCAAGGATACTAGAGATTAAGAAAATCCGGTTAGTTAAACGGGAAGACACGAGAAGAATCTTTACCATATTAGGAGTCTCTTAGCCAACAAGCAACTTAATTATAAAAAAGCATCCAGGTTATCACTTTACAAAATACACACATACACATTGATTATATACAACTCTTTTATTATCCCCTATGCACGGACTGACTTGAGCCTCGAAGTCTTTTCCACCGAAACTCTTCCCTGTATTTTGCAAGTCATTAAAGATGACGACCAGTCCGTGCTCGTGGATACTGGATTGCAGCTCAATCGGGTACAATTTGCGTAATAAATACGACTAAATAATGAATCATGTACAATGAAGTATATGTACTCTGTAGCATCATGTGATGCCGACAAGTGAATAAAATGAAATTACATGCGTATTATGAGACTCGCCCACACGTTATTTATTCTATTTTTTTTTTCTTATAACTTATGACAGATCTATTCTCTTTTTTTTTCTTTTTTTTTTTTATTTAATTTATTTGTCAGGGATTGAAGATTAGCGCAACTTAAAGCAACTTAAAAAATTAACCGCTTATCCCGGTTCTTTTTCCAATGACGCGTTTGTTTGTAATCCGGTGTAATATTGCCATCAAAATTCGCTGCACCTTATCCCTAACGAATTCAAAATGATGAACACTTTTGGTTGCATGTAATCCGAACTACATATGTTAGGTAGAATTCTGTAAGACATGACTTCACGTTGGGAAATAACCGTGTCGAGTAACGATGTGATCGTCTAGAGTGGGTCCGGATCAACATAGACGGTGACCTTCGACCCTTTCGGTTCAGACTCTGAGTTCCTGTAAAGCACCGGGAAGACTTCCAACATAAATGCTCCCACAATTAAGAAATGAAATTGAAGATCATCAAATTGTTTTGTTCAACAAATCCACTATTTTTTTCTTTCTCAACATATCCAAAAAATACCATTGCAATCAAATCAAACAAACGTCGTATGTCAATGTTAATATAAGATTGCCTATGTTGAGGCATATATGTGGAGAACATGAATTGAGTAAAGAAAGAAGTGAAGAAACCTTTAATCAATAGTTAGAAAATAATTTCCCAACATTTGTACACTGAGAAGTGCAATTAGCTAGGTCGAATGTACTTCAGAGTTCAAAGGATTTGTTCTAGAGTATACGGCTCAACAAGCATAGAACTTGGCAACTATATCATGCACATACAAATCAAGCATAGCTCATGAAACAGAAGAAAGTAATAGCTCACAACAAACACGAAAATTAACCGTGTGCTATTTTTAATAAGAGAACTCGTCTAATCAAATGGAGCGTATACAAGCTAATGCTCGAAGCACGAAAGAAAAATTGCATGTCAAAACAAACTCAAACTGCTCAAAATAGCAACAGAACAAAAGCATCACCTTACCCATGTCCTTCGTACAAAGCTAACAACATTTTTAAAGATTTTGGAAAAATATTATTTCAACGCTTGCCACCACCACCTCCAAGCTTGGGACCCTTGGGCATGGCAGCCTTGGACACATTGCCCTTTCCACTCTTCTGCTTGGACACCAACTCAGCCTTCTTTGCCTTTTTCTCGTCCTTGGTTTTCTTGATCCTTTCCTTGATTTCACTGAGATTCAATACAATAATCAATTAATTGCCTTTCATGATCCCGAAAAAAAAAAAAGCTAACCTTTTCTCATATATAAATAAATAACACACCGTAAAGCAGCTTCACGAGCAGCATCACGGACCTCAGGCTTCTCGGCTCTTCTCTTCTGGATGACTTCCAATGTAGCGCCAACAATGGACCTTGAGTAAGGCTTCTTGGTCGCTCTGCGCCTCTTCTTCACAGCTTCAGCAGCAATGTCCTAACATGTAAATCACAAAAGGAATTTCAGAAAACACGAAATTCATAAAAAGGAAATCAATAGATGTGGGGAACAAACAATTAAAAGGTATATAAAGATGTTTATACCTTCTTATGCTGCTTGCGGTACATAGCAGTCCAAGTAAGCTTTGCTGGCCTCAGGCGGTTGTGGAAGTATCTCTTACATTTTGAGTTGGCGAAGAGGAAAACCTAAAAGGGAAGACGAACAAGAAAAAGCATATCAAATCCGCACATGGAACACGGGTTGAAAAAGTAGTGCTCGCGCTTCTTTTTAAACAGATATCATGTGAGGGGACTACAAACAGTAAACGCGTTCGCTCTTAACCGACCTGGGAGTCAGATCTAATGAATCTAATGCCTTTTCCAGGGTAGATCTTGGCACCACTAAAACGGCAAAGCTCGGTCCTGAAAACCCAATATCAACAGTAAATGAAACATTAGCTTCAATGAACCAAGCTCTGAGTTAGGATACCCGACAACCCAGACACTGCGGTACATAATAAACAAGGAGCTAACAATTTTTAGGAACTGTAACTTGGGATAACAATCAATGACAACAATAAAACCAAACTCTATCAAGGTTCTATTACTCAAAAGTGAACAGAAACAGCCCAATCAAAACCCAATCATGGCTTCCAAGTGAACCTTTATGGTCCAAGGCCAAAACCCAGGGCACTACATAGACTCCAAACGTATCAATGGCCTTAGATACAAACATCGCACTTATCAATTGCAGCAAAAAATTGAGACGAAACAAGACAACAATTGACATCCGAAAAATCCTAGAACAACATCAGAAAAATAGTGGAGAAATCAGAAAAATCAAATGCCTCACAACAAGAACAATCTTACGAATCATAATGGATCTTCGAAGGAACAACATCATAAAGGTAAGGAACAAAATTGAATGATCGAATGAGAAGAACTTACTTGAGAACCATGGCTGGAGATGTAAGTCAGCTAGCCGCGCTCTGTTGTTTTTCTGGATTTGCTGAAACCCTAAAACCCCAGTAGAGAGAGATATAGTGATCCAGAAATGAAACCCCACGACGTCGTATGCACCTTCCACCTGAGCCCATTTATATATGGGCTGGGTAACAAACAAAACTATTCAAAGCCCACATGTAAGATTATAGCTTCTTTTTTTTTTTTTTTTTTTTT